AAAAAAAAAAAAAAAAGTTCCCCCACGTCTCTCCCTAGACGGATCTCCCCCAGATCCCTTTCTCAAACCGGTTTCCCCCGCATCTCCTTCGACGCCGGTTCCCCCACCTCTCTCTCTGCGCCCCCACATCTCTCTCAAATCCGGTTTCCCCCACCTCTCTCTCTCTCTCTCTCTCTCTCTCTCTCTCTCTCTCTCTCTCTCTCTCTCTCTCTCTCTGTGTGTGTTCGATACGCCCGGCCAGTAAACTAGAGCTGGGCGACGAGGATCCAGCGCCAAGCCCGGCCGGTTTTAAAGGCGACAGGGTTGGACGATAAAAAAGCGGTCGTAAAGATCAGCTAACACGGCTAGTAAGCTGTCGGGGGTAGATGACTCGACTCTCTCGGAAGAAAAAAGAATGTAAGGAGAACAACGACTACACGACCCAAACGAGGAGCAATGGATGCATTGGATAGATATGCAGCGGCTATGAAAATCTCGAAAGGAACGCGGAAAAAGAGGAAGACTAGATAAACTGTCGTCCCCTCGTCTGAGAAAGAGAGAGGTGGTCTGAAAAGAGAGAGGTGGTCTGAAAAGAGAGAGGTGGACTGAAAAGGGGTGACGGGAAAACGGGGGAACGGGAAAAGAGGGGGCGGGGAAAAAAAGGGGGGCGGTGGAGCGAGAACATTATTCCCCGGTTGTCCCCGATTAGCCATTCTGCTCAACGGCCATCAAGTGGTCCCCACGGAAAAGCAATCGTCTCGAGCTGACACGTGTCCACAACCTATCGCGAAGTGGACCCCAATTATTTAATCAATCAATCAATCAACCTTTGCAATGATTGATTGGGGACGATGGGACGCGATTCTTTATCGCAGAGATAAACGAACAACCTAAGCGAGATTCGGAGAACGCTCCCCAATTCCTTAACTAGTCAATCAATCTTAGCAATGATTGATTCCCGGGACGCTGCCTCCCGTGCATCCGACAGTGAGAGAAGCAAAAGAACGAAGAGAAACNGATTGATTCCCGGGACGCTGCCTCCCGTGCATCCGACAGTGAGAGAAGCAAAAGAACGAAGAGAAACGAGGAAGATGAGGAGAAGAGGAAGAGGAGAAGAGGAGGAGAAGAGGAAGAGGATACGAAGGAAATGAAACAAGGAAGAGGAGAAGGAGGAGAAGAGGAAGAAGGGGGTACTGAGGAGGCAGCGGCGGAAGGAGGAAGAGGAAGAAGAAGGCGAAGGAGAATGAGAACGAGGACGAGGAGGAGGAAGACGGAGATAAAAAAGAAGGCCGAGAAAGCAGCCGCCATCGCCGAGCAAATACTCTACTGTAAATTACGCAGAAGAAGAAGAAGAAGAAGAAGAAGAAGAAGAAGAAGAAGAAGAAGAAAGAATGAGAAGGAAGACAAATAAGGAGTAGGAGGAGGAGGAGGAGGAGGAGGAGGAGGAGGAGAAGGCAAAGCGAAGGAGAGGAAGGAAACAAAACGAAGAAAAGGAATAGGAAACCAGATCACGCCTAAGTAGACTAACCTGCGGAGCTGTTGAAAGAGTTATTATAAAAGCCAACAAGACACAAGACTACCGACCCTCCCCCTCTTCGAAAGAGAAGAATGGCGATGGAATCTCTGAGTCACATTTGTCTCGCCCCGACGAAGGTGTCGTCGCGATGGAAAGCGAGAGAATGCTAATGATGTGTGTGACATGTCCGAAGAAAGACATACTCCTAGAGAATGGCACACTAACGCCGGTGCGGCGGCGGAGTAGCCAGAGGAGGAGGAGAAGAAGGAGACGAAAGAGAAGGAGAACGAGGGAGGAGGGAGGAGTTCAATTGCGCACATCACCGCTCCACATCTCCTTGGATGGCGCTCAGAAGGACGCGTGAGAGAAAGAGCGAAAAAGTTAACAAGACAAATCTGTCTGAGCAGATGCTTCCCGCATATTACCAGGGCATGGAAAACCAACCTCAACCTCCGCTTCCCTGGCGCCAAGTTCCGCTACCGTAGCAGTACGTTGAGTTTCCTCAACTCCTGAATCTGGAGGTGTTTGTGAAGATGTGCGGTCGAGGAAACTCCAAGTAATTTCCGCACGTGTCCCCAAACACGTCCAGATTCAGTCGTTGATGAGGAGACTCAATGCTGCCGCGTAGTGGGACTTGGCCCCTGGTCCCGAATTTGCTCCAATGGGACTCTCTTCGGGCCTACTTCTCTTTTTTTTTTTAATGATTTATTTGTGGCTCTTTTGCCGACCCCCGCCCGCTGGCCTCCAAGCCAGCCAACACCACAGCCTTATTATTCAGATCCCGCGTTCGCCAATTTCCCGCATCTATGAAGGAACAGGTCCAGATTCATGCGTTAAATTTAATCCTTTTTTGGGTAGTAGACCTCCACCCCGCCTGCGCGCAGCACGGCGGGAAAGGAAAGTGCAGCGGCCGCCAAGTGGGAGCCGGAAAGACCAGACGAAGAAAGGAAATCATACTAGCACTTTCGTAAATGAATAGGACCGGAAATTATGGCACTATTTGCATGAATATAGACACAAACACGTCCAGAGATTAGTAGAAGAAGTGCTGGACTCCTGGTGCGAGTATTGCCCTGAAAAACAGAAAACGTGCCAGCGAAAGAAAAAAATCGTTAAACTGTGTTTCAACACGTGTCAATCCGCTTGTCGACTATTTACGTCAAATCCGACCGGTCTTTTGACAATGAAGTTCCCTCTCCTTTCTCCTCTCTCACTACCTACCTCCCGCCACTCCTCAGCCTACACTGAAGTGTTGATTAGCGAGAAAAAAATCAGGGCAGTAATTCTATTTTTGTATAAAAATAAAAAAAGCAAAAAAAGGGCACACCGGTGTTTTTACGACGAGGTTCAAACTTCAACGAAAGAGAAAGGCAAAAGGTAAAAGCAAAGGAAAGAAAAGAAGAATAGCACATAAGTCGGAGCGCTTTCACACGTGTACACTTCTCATGCCTCCCTCTCTCTCCCCAACCTGGCTCTGCGATGATGGGCCCTCTTCTCTGCGCTCTTGCAATGACCCCGCCCGCGTCTGCCCCGCCAATCTTGTTTTTTTTTTGTTTTTTGTTTTTTTTTTCAAGGTAGATGGCCTTGAGGTGTTATCATCGGACTAACCAGCCCGGGCAAATTCGATCTTGTGTCTAATCTGACCCTGGGTGGCCTTTTCAGCCCAGGGTGGCCTTATTATAGGCTTCAGGGAACCCCCAATGGGGGGACACCGGCCAGAAGAAATCCGGTAGCAGAGGGACCGAGCATCATCTGAGTGGCCAGTCGCTGTCCCTCCCCGATTACCCCTCCCCCTCTAAACATCAGCAGAGAGGACCGACGGGCTATCTCTAGGTGGTGGGCACCAAGCATGCTCAGGAAGGTACATGAGGCCAATGGGGATTGAACCCAAGACCTCCTGAATGACACTTGCGTGCCTTACCAACTGAGCTAGCCTGCTGGATATTTTTCCCTTTTTGCCTCTTCTTTCTTTTTTTCTTTTTTTTTTGCTTTTTCCTCATGGGGGGGACAGCTCACCTCACATATTTTCAACTGGCGTTCTGCCATGTCATGGAACATGGGTTACATCCCATCCTTTTTTTTTTCTTCTTCTTTTTTTTCCCCCAAAGAACCCCCCATCAATACGCTTTACCTCACTGGGGCAAGACTTACTGCAGCAGAGCCACCATCTCCGCTGCTGCTGTGCCCTATTACCATCCTACGAACTAGCCCCCTCACTAGTAGGACGCTTGATATCCAACCATCTACTTCTCCCACTCACCTCTTTTGAAGAAAAATTAAGAAGGCCTCCCCCTGCCAACATTGATTGCCCCGGAAACCAGGGGATTAACTGAACAGGGACGCCCTTTGATGATAGGTCAAATTTGGAAAGGTCCTACAAATGCTAAAAAACCCTCGGAATCCTTAGCAAACCCTTCTAAAGCTCTCCAACACTGTTTTATTCCCTGCCGAGCTCTTCCAGGCCTCACACCCCCACAACCTGCTGGGTTACAGGGCGACGTGACTCACCCCAACTCCGACCAGCGTCGTCCCAGCAGCAACCCTAGGTTGTCCCGTGGAATGCCCACCCCAAAGCATCCCCAAATCTCTATACCAGGACTCACGCTCCTGCATCAGCAGGTTACAGGGCATCACCCCAGCACCGGCGAGCGTCGTTCTGGCATCAAACAGCCGCGGATCACTGAATATAACAGCATTGAAGCCACCTAAGACAAGTTGCTAGGAGTCCCCAGAGTCCCCAAACATTCTTAAGACCACCAAGAGCGAATAGAAACGGCCAACTTTTTTTTTTTTTTTTTTTTTTTTTTTTTTTAATGCACCGGGGCCATTACCCCGCTTCAGCTAAGAAAACTCTAAGAACAGATTGCAACGTTTCGAAAATTCTAAAAATTATATTCTCGAAGTCTAATAACAACTACCTATGACAGTGTTAAAAAAACAAAAGAAAAAGGGGCACAAGCTAAAACCACTAACCATCCATCTCCTTCCCTCTCCACACATGAAGAAAAACCGCCCAAACTTTCAATCCTCGTGCCAGAAATCATCAGATCTCATACCCCCCTTGCTGAGGTTATAAGGCGACACTACCTACCCCAGTACCGACCTGAATGTTTCTGACCGGCAGAAAGTGCCTTCCTCCCTCGACAGCTTCCTTAACTGTAAGGCCCCTAAGGTTACAGGGTCACCGCCCCAGCTACAGCTTCGCTGGACGGGATGCTTATGCCTTCCACCCGCGGCATAACTCCAATGGCCTTAAGCTCCCCCTGGTCATAGTGCTATGCTCCAACACTGGTCAATGTCGTCCCACCCCGCCCTTCTAGTAGACCTATTACCATGAGCAATGAATCCTTCTTCTGCCTGAGTCCACCACAACCCTTCAAACCCTAATTATAGCCTTCCCCTTCCTCTTACCATACATTATCACGAAAATAATGATAGAGAACGCGAAATACACAGCACAAGAGAAAAAAAAAGGGCAAGCGGTCAGAACAGACCACGACCTGCTAAGCAAAAAAAGGGAAGGTGGAGGCCGTTAGTCCTCGTACAAAAACGTGGCGGATCTCGAACCCCCTCGTGCTAGGGTGACAGGGCGTCACATCTACCCCAGAACCGATCCACCTTGTTCTCACGGAAAAAAAGTGTCTTCCACCCTCGACTCCTCCTCAAAAGTCACAAAGCCGCACCGTTACAGGGAAAACCCCGACAATGACTTCGTCGAAGCCACTGGTTATGCCACACAAACGAGCATAACTCCCTAGGCCTCAAGCTCCTACCCAGGTTACAGAGCCACAACTCCAGCACCGGCCTGAGTCGTCCCAGCAGAATCCTCCTGGCCTACCAGCCAAAACCAACCATCCAACTACATAGCAGATCCGGACCACCCTAAGTCAATGCACCATCCTCAACTCCCCCAACTATGCAAAGGTCTAAAGAAATACGAGACAGTAAGGCCCAGGTTACTCCACTCCTTATATCTCATACGACCTTCCTCCGACAAGACTTACCGTGATAGAGCTACCATCTCTGCCACTACTATGCCCTATCTCAATCCTGCTAGCTAGCCCTTTCACCGCAGGACGTGTGTCACCCAACCCTACACCACCCCTACCCCTGCAACCAACGACCAATTATGAGGTGTTAAACAGCAAAACGAATTTGGGTAAAAAATTCAGAACCCTGCCCAAGTACAGAAAACTACCAGATTGAAAAACAATCCACCTATGAATAAAGGTATGACCGTTCACTGAAGAAAATAAAAGTGTAACCCGTTGGCAATCAGAACAAGTAATCATACATGAAAATCAGATTAAAATTTTGAGATATGAAATCAGATTGTGAACGGTTAAAAACCAGAATTGTTTTTGAACTTTCGAAAAAATACAAGCGGTAAAATAAATCAAATTATTCGAGGGATCAGAATACGAACACTGAGAATCATGAGATACATAGTATTCAGAATTATCAACAGGTAATTTGAATATCTAATGTAAAACCATTGACACTTATTTGAGAAAGTTATAATGAAATTCTTTCAAAATCGTAGATAATCGTGTCAGTTCATCAAAATTCATAGAAAAATCACAACCTAAAATCATTAGCGGCTATTAAGGTCAAATCACAAGGATAAAGAATATTGAATTCTCCTCCTCAAAGTATCATCAGAAAACGAATGAAAACCATCGAAATAAAATGAAGCAAAAAACATTATTATAGCCCTTGGGGGAAGGAGCACTCCAATCTAGCATAAAGATGATCATAATCCCACACAAAATCTCCTCCCTACTTCTTCAACCAATCATCCTTGAGTCCTTACCGCTCACCCCCCAAACCCTACCCCACCGTCTTTGGGGGACAAATAAATTCCGTCCTCCCACTGCTAACATCAAAAGTCACAGGAAAACTAGCTCCAAAGACATCAAAGGTCACCCAAACACTTACCATCCGGTTGAAGAAGAAGCCTTAGGATGTCTGCCTGATCGGAAAAACACTGTAGGTCCTGTCTCGATCCCTCCCCCCCCTTGTAACTACTTTCAAGTTACTATTAAGATGGCCCAAGACTATTCGACCCTCTCGGCCAATAAACATCGCCCTCCGCGTACGTAAGCATTCATCACGCATTAATCATCGTCACACACCTCAGCGCACGTTCAACGCTGGCACGGGATGCACCCGTGGCACGGCCGCATCTGAAGTCGTGTGGGGTGCCACCATCTCGAAGTTCGCGCGAGGCGCGACCGCTTCATGATTCGTGTGGGGCGCAGCGCTCCCAGTCGTGCTGCGTCAATAAAGAAAGGATTATCGATAACTTTTTTCCTTGATTTGTTTCCTTCTTTCTTTTTTCTTCTTCCTTTTGATTCTTTGATGTTTTCTTTCGTTCTTTTTTGTTTTGTCTATTTCCCCCCCTCCCCACCTCCTCCCCACCTCCTCCCCCCCCCCCCCCCCCCTCC